GCAGAGTTAGATGTTAAACATTTTAAGTGAAGAATTAAACCACTAGTAAATTGACTACACAAAAAGATATCATGTTTAAATGACCAAATTAGACCCAGAAAGTTTGATGTGAAAATATAAAATTCAAGCAAATTTGTAATAGGTACAACTTCCTGAAAACTGTAAAGAAAGATATTTTTTTTTTGCCCACTTAATTCTGGAAACACATTTTATAATAGTATGCCATTTGTGTGGCAATTCACAGTTTTAAAGCTCCAATTTAAACATTTTACTGAACTTTCACAGTAAAGATGTGAGGAACCTATTTGACTCTCCATCCCTTAGATGGGGCAGCTAAAACTTGGTCTGGTTGTGGTACCCAAGTCTACACAGATAATAACCACAGAGTTCAAAATGCAATCTGGATATTTTTGCCCTCTGTGTTTGTGCCAGAAAAATCCACCCTCCTTCTATGAAGATTTGGTATTATTTTTAGTTATTGGACTTGATACATATTCATTAGTACATATCTAATCCTAGGGTAGTATAGGCTTTGAAAGAATGCTAAATTAATTTTTGTTAAAGTATGGAACATGGAAGAGACAAAAGAGGTCTAAAATAATTTGGAATTAACAAGAGTTAATATTTTCCTGCTCTCTCTGGCTGGATCATCAGTTTCTCTCAGAAAAATATCCTGGTAGGATGACAAGGATTATAATAGACTCATCAAGGGTAGCAAAAGAGGAAACAAACCAGTTAATTGAATAATTTCTGAGAAGAGCAATTGTTATGACAGTTGTGAAGTCAGAACATTAACTCTAATATCCTCTCCCAATCAATATGTACAAATGTTGATCAGCATTTTCATTCGAGACTGATTTTCTAAACTCCCATAAATTAGACATTATTGTTATTATTTTACACAATAATTGCTTGTTTAGATTTTTGCACTTTTATCAATATTCTTCACTATCCCTTTTTATTGATATCAGTTTTATTGAAGTACAATTTACAGGGAACTCACCCATTTAAAATGTACAATTCAATAGATTAATATATTCATGGAATTATGCAACCATCACCATAATCAGTTTCTGAACATTTTCATTACAAAACTAATGCAGTACCTGTTAGCAGTCTAACCCCATTTTTCCATCCTGCTCTCTCAGTCCCAGGCTACCTCGAATCTTTTCTGTCTCACTATTCTTTCTTACAGCTCAGTCCTTCCGCTTTTCCCCTGCCAAAAGTTTCTGCCTCAGTCCGTCCATTTCCCACTCAGCAAACCAAAGTTCTAACATTTCAAACCAAGTATTTCTTCTTTTTCCTGAAGAAAAAAAAATTGTAGGGCTTCTTTGAGCTGTTTTCTCCAATATATGATCTAATTCATGAAGGTTTTGTTAGCTTTTGAGACCAGTAGTGAGTTGAAACCTGTTTCAAATGAAAAAGGTTACTAAAATTTCCTCCTCAGAAAATTAGTCTCACTCTGTTTCTTCAATTGCTTTTAAGATGCTTAGTGTTCAGTAAAAATTTCTTAAGCTAGCAAAACAACTCTAAGAACAAGAGTTTGTAAAGAGGAACAGTATCCAGGAGGCAAAACAGTGTCACCGGGACCAGTGAAATGTGTTGATTTGTCATCACAGAGCTCTCATTTATTGAGTGGTGTTGAAGAAAAACAAAGCTGAACACTAATTAAAAGTGGTAAGGATATATTTTATCGAGTAGTACAATTAGAGTAGGGGAGAGAGGGACTTTGATATAGAATGGGCTCTGCTCCTATTGTGTATAGGTGTTTTGAAGAGAAAATAAAGGAGATACTATGGAACCAAATGGATCCCCTAGCAGTCAAAAAGTGCAATAAGGCTAACTTATTATACTAACTGGGACTTATCTGGAGGGTAAACAAGTTATCTTCAGGATAGAAAGAAGCTTTGCAAATTGGAACAAGGCACCTATGGCAATCAGGTTCTTACCCTTCCACAGGTACAGGAAGGCAGGAGAGCCAGTGAAAGTGTGATAGGAGAGGGGCTCATCAGCCCACTTGGGGCAGGGTGGGAGAGACTTCCTCCCTGAAGTTACTGCAGTTCAAAGATACAGTTCCAGGTGCAGAAGGCACCACACAGTTCCATATCCAGAAGGACACAGTTTTGGGTCACAGAAGATGAACATTTCAGAAACGCAGAGAAAGAATTAAAATAATTGCAAGTTTCTTAAAGTAACTGGTCTAAGACAAGGTTTAGGAATCTATAGTGAGCGTTTGACTGGAACATAGAGCAACTCATTTGGCAGTACTTTGCTGCCTCAAGCAGGCATTTTAAGCAGGACTACATTCATTTAGGGACATGGGCTTTGTCTACCCCTTCTGCAAACATTGTTAGAATTTGTTCCAATCTCTTAGTATGTGTTTTGGGCTGTTGGATGAAACGTTTGTGCTCAGAATTTGCAGTCAAAGCCTTCTCGGAGCCTGACTAGAGTTGGGTCAAGGAGAGTCACTGTCATGGTTAACAGGGAGTAGTTAATGGGTATTGCTCCCTGCATTGTTGTAAACCCCAGGTGCATTTGTTGACCAGCAAATCCTGACAGTTTCCAAAATTATCGTAGACAGTGCTAAAAGTAATAGTGGCAGATATCATTTATTGGGCATTTACAGTTTTTGTATTAAGGGCTTAACTTATATGATCCCACTTAATAACTTATTTAGTTTAGTTATTGCCATACTCACCAGTCATGAGGAAACACACCCAAGTCTATAAAACTATAGGTGGAAGAGTTAGGATCTTATTATTTCAAAACCCAGGCTCTTAACAGTTATGTTATGGCCTGTTTAGTTTTGGCCAGATTTTCACTTTAGCCTAAACTTTTCCTCCACTGATTAGATAGTAGTATTAATATTATTTAAGTGTTTGGATCTTTTATCTCTCATTTAGAATAGAATATCTTTTACTAAAATCTTTGAGCGAATTTCTTTTTTCATACTCATTTAATAGTCTGGGTATGGAATTCAAAGAAAGTGGTTTTTATTTTTTCTTTCATCATGTTCTATTAAATATGTGACAACACAGTCTTCTGGCTTCCATTGTTGCTGATCAGAAGTTGATGAGCTAACTATTGGTCCTTTGAAGGAATTTCTTTCCATCATTCTGCTTTTAAGATCTTGTCTCTCACTTTGGTTTTATAGCTTTTCTGTAATTGGTCTCGGTGTGCATCTTTTCATTTATTTTGCTTGTGATTCACTAGTTTCCCTGGTTCTCAGGATTATTATCTTTTGACAATTGGGGGATAGTCTCATTACCTAGTTGAGTGTTCCTCTTCTCCATTCTCTCTACCATCTCCTGCTGACATTCTGACTCCTATATCATTCTCTACAATGCTTAACTATGTTTTATGTTCTTTATCTATTGTCTATATGGATTGTATTCCAATTTGTTTTGTAGGAATGTTTTCCTACAATTTACTATCTTCATTATACTACTATGCTATATTAATAGTATATAAGCACAATGTTTTATATCATTGCATTTTACTTTACATACATACACATATAATATTTAATGACACTTAACATTGTGCTAATATACTAAATCATTTTTTTATGGTTTCATGATCCCTCTTCATATTTTCAAGCTTTTAAAAATTTGTTTAAACATAGCGATTTTATATTTTAAAAATTCTGTATTTGAAAGCTTTGTGTTCTGAGATTTTTAAAAAATTGTTGTTATGTGTGTGTTTTGTTGTCTGTTATTCTATTCATACTACCTGCTTTATTGTTTGTTTGTGATCCACCACTTGGGACAGTTCATTTTGTAATAAACTTTCTTTGTTGGTCTTCCTTGAGGCCTGGGCTGAAGATGAATTCTTCCAAAGGAGCTATACATTGTCTTCTGCCAGTTGCCTTAGGACATGGTCTTAGGGGATCATGTTTGAAATTTTTGGATCACAGTTGTGGCATGAATTAGAACCTCAAACTCAAGTGAGAATCAATTTATCATTAGAGATCCTCTGAGAATTTTGTCTAGTCATTCTGTACTAAAATTGATTGCCTTATGGAATATCACGGTTAATTTGTTAGTGTTTTTTCTCCCCATCTCAGTACTACGGATTGAACCCAGTGGTGCTCTACCACCAAGCCACATCACCAGCCCTTTTTATTTTTATTCTGAAATAGGGTTTTGCTAAATTGCTGAGGCTAGCCTCAAACTTGTGATCCTTCTGCTTCGGTCTCCCAGGTCACTGGGATTAAGGTGTGTACCACCATATGTAATTGAAATATCAGGGTTTATTTCTAATTTATTCTTGCATCAATGGTATTGCCTTATAGATTGGTTTTATGAGGGTTTCCTATTAGATTCCTTGCATTAGCCAGAGCTGAGGCTTTATCTGACAGGTTGGCCTACCCAGAAACAAATGATTCTAGGATTTGTCAGAAATTCTCAGAGCAATACCTACTTTGGACTTCGCTTACTGAGTTTCATAATTTGATTTCATTTGGGGGCTATGTTGTTTCTTTATTTTCAAACATCCTTATACATATAGTTATGTATTTATAGATACATAGGTACATTTAAGTTAATTCACCAAACATTTTAGTTATTTCAACAATGAGAGTGATGTATGGCAACTATTTACCATAGAGCCAGAAAAGAGTTTCTTTTATATTATTCCTTTCCTCTTAAGTTGATATAAATTTCTCCCCTCACCCATCCCCATATTTAATCAGCTTCTTGGCCAGGAGAGAATTTGTGATTTTATGGACATTCAAAAAATTCTGTTGATCTTTGTTGCAGTTAATAGAGCAGCAACAACTTCTTTTGATTTACCAGGAAAAATTAAACGATTCTATTTGAAATAATTCTGATATATTAAATGTTACTATTGGTATTATTACTGATTATATTATGTCACTTGACAAAAGGATTTTGCAAATTGCAATTAAGATTACTAACCAGTGACCTTAAGGCAGTGAGATCATCCAGGGGGCCTAATCTGATCAGATGAGCCCTTTAACTGCAAAGTGTTTTCTCTAGTTGGCAGCAGAAGTGTGTTTGAGAGATTTCAAGCAAGACATACTACTGCTAGCATGAAGATGCAAAGGTTTGGAGAGCAGCCTCTAGGAATTGACAGTGATCCCTGGCCAACAGCCAACAAGAAAACCTCACTGCTACAACCACAAGGAACTGGATTCTGCCAACTGTAAGAATGAACTTGGAAGTAGATTCTTCTCTAGTTTCTCCAGCAAAGAAAGAGCCCAGTCCACTCGACAGCTGGATGTCAGCCTAGTAGGACCCTCAGCAGAGAATCCAGTGCAGCCTGCCTGGATTTCTGACCTACACAACCATGAACTGCAGAATCTTGGGTGCTGCTTTAAGTTGTTATGTTTGTAATCATTTATGTATCAGTAGAAAATGAATGCAGGTGATTTTTTTTCCCTGAAGCTTTTTGTTCACAAATAATAAGTGCCCAATAGCAAAAGCTCACCTTCAAGACTACATTGTACCCATAACAATACTAGCTCTTCTGCTTAAACTTTGAACAGAGAAGATAATGCAATTGACTGTGCTATTGGCAGGCAAAGGTCAATTCAGTGAAATGTCAAATACTTTTCAGTGGAAAGGCAGATCATTACATCTGACACCAAGTCAGCACCCTGCATTATCATCTGCAGGCCATTGTCCTTATTATTACTGTCTCAGAACTTGACTCCTTCATCTTTTCTTCAGCCAAACCACGTTCTCCAGTGCTCTGAAAGTGCCTCTCTCCTAGGCCTCTGCAGTTAAGTGGAGTTACTGTGCATCTAATAAGTAAGTGTTTATCTCCCTTCACCTTCAAATTTTCCTTAATTGCCTTTCCAGTTTCATTTCTTAAGATAGGTCCACATAAATTCTAAATTCAGCAAATTTTCAGTTTCCCAAATATGCCAGATACTTTCTTAATTTCCATTCAATTCTTTCTATTCATGATACCAATTTTTTTTATTTCCACCTGGAGAAACTGTATTTATCCTTCAATATGCAGATCTTGCCACTTGACCCAAGAATCCTTTCTTCCAGGATAAATTGGGTATTTCCTCTTTTGTGTTTCTAAAGCCTTCAAAAGCAGCTTTTTGCCTTCTGTTGTGTAAAGACCATGGCATTGTTATTAAGACCAACTATCCATACTTAGAAAAGCTCCAAAGCCTGGCAACAGTTCATTAGTAGATGTTTGATCCATGTTTGTGGAATTGAGTGAACCTACTGTAGCCCAGACCCAGTGAAATAAGCAAGATAACTGGGGATACAAAAGAATGATGCAACAATACAGTACTTGTACTATACAGTACAAGTTAATATATTGCTCCTTAATTTTTCCTTCAATTGGGTTAGATAGCTTCAGTGTTTCTCCTAAGTTTTTATGATTTGTTTCAACCACCATTGTTCACTTCCCATTATTTCAAATCCAGGTTATTTCAAAAGGATCATCTCTGTCTTATGTCCATAACATCCTCACAATCTGATACATATCTTACTACCAAGGCCTCATTCAGCTGCTTAACAATTGCTTTTTATGAGTCACTGTCCACCTACAACCTGGCACTATTTCTCCATAACATAGAGCTGCATAGTCCAATATGGTAGTCACTAGCTACTACCCATTAGCACAAGTCAAGATGTGCCAACAGTGTTAAATACCCACTGGATTTCAAAGACACTGGAGAAAAGTGAAGGATGCCAAATATATTGATTTTATGTTGGAATAGAATTTTTCCATACTGGATAAAAGAAATATATTATTAAAATCAATTTCATCTGTTTCTTTTTCCTTTTTCTTATTGAGGCTCCTAACTTTTAAGCTACGTAAGTGATTTGCATGTGTGGCTGGCACTATAATCTATTGGGTTGTGCTAGCCTAAAGCATAAAGTCCAGCACCTGAATTTGGTACTGCGATCCATATCTCACTATAATCTCCTCCACTAGCCCCTGCTTTCATGTCCCATATACCATGTCCACAATGGCCAGTATTTTCTCAGAAAGCAGCGCATTCTTTTTCTTGTCTTCCATCCATACTATTTCCTAGATGATCTTTTCTCTTTTCATTTTGTTTACCAAAATCTTGTCCCTTCTTCTAGGCCCATGAGAGCTCCACTGCCTGTAAGAAACTTTTTTGATCTCATCAATTGAAAGGAGTTTATTTCTTCTAAACAAAGAATTCTAATGTATACTTATTTGTGAATATATTTTGTCTCTCCTGTTGCATTCTAAGTATTTAGAGGCCAGAGTCTGTTTAATACGTCCATCTATATGTACCTCTATAAATAGCAAAGTGACTTCTTTCAATGACTCTCAGAAATAATAATGCATAAACTTAATTTAGGAGATACATTATGGTTTGGATGTGAGGTGACCCCCAAAAGCTCACATGTGAGACAATGCAAGAAACTTTGGAGGAGAAATGATTGGGTTAACTCAATCAGTGATTTAATTCCCTGAAAGGGATTAACTGAGTAGTAACTGAAGTGGTAGGGTGTGGCTGAAGGAGGTGGGAATCGAGGTGTGACTTTGGGTATATATTTATATCTGGCAAGTGTCTCTCTGCCTCTTGATCATCATGTTAGCTGCTTCCCTCTGCACCTTCTCCTGTCATGATGTTCAGCCTCACCTCCAGTCCTGAGAAATAGAGCCAGCCTTCTATGGACTTAGATCTCTGAAACCATGAGCCCGCAAATAAACTTTTCCTCCTCTATAGTTGTTCTGGTCAGATACTTTAGTCACAGCAGTGAGAAAGCTGACTAAAACAGCAAGTTCAAGTATGTAAATATACATATATAGATATAGAAAGTCTCACATAAATAGTTTATGACTTAATGAAAGACTCAGCAAGATTCTACAAGAGAAAAAAAAATGAAAATCTTCAGAGAGGAAAAAGACCGAGAACATTGCAACAGGAAGAGACTGTAGAGAATATTATACCCTTTTCTCTGTTTTTACAGATGATGGAGGCAAGGCTGGAGAAGTTCAGTGACCCTGCTAGGTGGGAAACCCCTTAATAGTGTGCTGCCTATATTCCATGCTTAACTTAACGACACTTAAGAAGTCAATAACCATTGGCTAAATGTATGTATGAATGAATGGACAGTGAAAAAATAAGCACACATAGTAAACTAAGAGTAGATCACTTATCGCCTGGTTGCTGCAATAATGATATTTTCTATCTACCTCAAAAAGAGGGGAAGGAGAGTTGGGAAAAATTAGTAGCATATTTAAAACTGCATTTTAAATAATGACCAACCATTAAATTAGTCATTTAACATTTTTCTAGCAATAGAATCTAGGCCTATATAGATATATAAGAACAAATTTTACTTTTATTTCCTATTCCGATGGTCCTTTCCAAGTTGGATAGTGCTTATCTTGCTACCCTTAATTTATGCAGAACAAAGTATGTATGTGCTTTTAGTCATCTTCTTCACAGCAACAATGAATTTTCATTAGTTCCCCCATTCTTTCATTTTCTGGTCCCTTTCATATATTTATTTGTTGCCTGATCTTTTGTAGAGCACTACTCCTACACAAATTATCAAATTTTCAAAGCAAACATATTGGATATATTAGCTCCCTTACTTTGAATTATGAAATAAAAGAATTCAAAGAAGTTAACTTATCCAATATCAAATAGCTAAGAAGTATTGGAGCTGTAGGTGTCTTCTTCATCATTTCCAAATGTTTGCATTGTTGCCTCTATTATTTCCAATCATGACTTGTAAATAAGAATGCACATTTGTTATAACTCAGGCAATGAGTATAATGTGGCCACTGAAGAGAGGGAAGCCACTGGTGGATGGTACAATCCTAATTTCACCAGGTAATTCCCTTATTCCTCTTAATAGTCTCTTTAAACACAACTTTGAGGTTCAGTATGTATGGTAAAAAACAACCTTTCACTTAATAATTTTATCCAATATAATAATAACTATAATAACTGCTATATTGAGTCCCTAAAACTTTATTTCAGGGGTATACTTGATACATTTATGAAATTCCAGGGGGGTGAATTCCCTGATAGCAATTAACTGAGTAGTAACTGAAGTAGTAACTCACTGGTATTTCTTTGGGAACTCTGTACACATGGAATTCCTTCTCTGTCAAAGATTAAGAGACTTTCAAAATCTTCATGATTTTGAAACGTGAGGTTTAGGCTTTAATGATTTTTCTTAAAAAAAAAGAAGTGAAAGAAAAGCAGTCTATGCTTTAAACAGAATAAATAAGTAAGACAAAATTAATCAATAAGACTTAGTTGAGGTTGCTTACATGGGAGATCTATTTATCTTACACATTTTCCATCTGTACAAGGCCATTTTTGTGTTATTTATATGTGATTAACATAATTTGACAATCTGGTTTATTAGTATACTTGGTAACTAATTATATGTAAAATGCTAACAATATTTTCCCAGCTGTATCTTAGCAAGGGGACTTACTCTGATGTATTAAAACAAATGTCACAAAGATTCTCCCCTTCCCTCCCTTCTTCCTTTCTTCTACACCTATCTTTAACTCACTAATGAAAACAAAGTTTAGAACATCAAATATTGTTGGAAAAATTGTTGATCATGCATATTACCATGGGAATGCTATATTCTACCTTTTAGTTAGAAAGCTTGAGGAAATGTCTACTTTTCTTTGTTCTGTAGCTTTTTTCCCTCTTTCCTCATTTTCTTTTTGGGTATAATGGGCAGATTTAAAAAATATGCCAAGGAGATAAAATAAGGGACTTCCAAATGATTTGGATTTTATATTGGTGTACTATGGTTATATGTAACAGTGTGATTCATTGTGACATATTTATACACGCACAAAACAATTTGATCAATTTAATTCCCCACCACCTCCTCCCTAAATCCCTTTCCTCAACTCAATTGGTCTCCTTTGTATTTTCATGACATGCTCCCCACTTTTTTTTTTTTTTAAATTTTTGCCTATCTAGCTTCTGCATATGAGAGAGGACACATCACCCTTGACTATCTGAGTCTGGCTTATTTTGCTTAACATGTTCTCCAGTTCCATCAATTTTCCTGCAAATGACACAATTTTATTTTTATTTATGGCTGAATAAAAATCCATTGTGTATAAATAACACATTTTCCTTATCCATTCATCTGTTGACAGACATCTAGGCTGGTTTCATAACTTGATTATTGTGAATTATGTTGTATAAACATGGGTATGCACATTTCACTGAAGTATGCTGATTTTAAGTCTTTTGAATAAATATCAAAGAGTGGTACAGATGGATCATATGGTAATTCCAGTCTTAGTCTTCTGAGGAATCACCATACTGATTTCTATTATGGTTTTACTACTTTACAATCCCACCAAAAGTGTTCTTTTTCCCCTATATCTTTGCTACCATTTATTATTACTTGTATTCTTTTTTTTTTTTTTTTTTTTTGGCATTGGAGATTGAACCCAGGGGGTACTCAACCGCTGAGCAATGTTCCCAGCCATTTTTAACATTTTATTTAGAGACAGGGTCTCACTAAGTTGCTGAGGCTGGCTTTGAGATTTTAATCTCCTGCCTCAGCCTCCTGAGTCACTGAGATTACAGACGTGCACCACTGCATCCCGCAATTACTTGTATCCTTGATGATTGCCCAAAATATTTGGACTACCAACAGGAAATCTTAGTTCTGAAAATGAGTGTATCTTTAAAAAACGAACCTACTAAGTGAATCAGTACTAAAGAGTAATGAAGTCATCTGCCTAATTAACTTGCGCAATGACTAACATTGCTATAACTACAACTCAACAATAAAATTATCTTTTGGTGAATCATAATGTTCTATTTCTCTCCTGTCCACATGACCAACTATTTCTAGAATGTTTGCACCAAACTTTTATTACAAATGCTAATACTTAGTTATTTGGGGGGTGGTGGGAAGTAACAAATACTTTCCATGCAGGGGAAAAATTATTGCTTTCATTTCAGGGGGCCTAATTATAACACCACTTTCTATTTCAGTCCCTATTCATTTTCCAATTCTTCAGGGATTGGGTAGTTTTAACAATGAAACAAGCAATGCTCCAATGTCTAATTAGGATTTTCATGTAGGATTAATAAGTCATGTCTCATTAGCTCCACTGAATTAGAGGTGTTTATCTTCACCTTGGCATGCTGATCTTGAAATAAGTTTGTGGATCAAGTACTGAAGGGTGTTGAACAAACAGTTTGATTCAAGCCAGTGAGCCTTCTGATGTCAATCTCATATTATTGACAAATGCAGCTTTATACACAAATGCTTAGATGTGTCCTTTTGAATGTACTAAGTATTGCACTATGATGTCCACTGGGGGAAACCATCATCTTCTTCTCTCCAGCAAAGAAGGCAGAGAGCATCTTTGCTTTCTTCCTAACATGGACTTACCCTTCTCACACGGGGGGAATAAAAAGAGGCCAGAGCACAGCAGACGTACAGAACTCTTGTCAGCTCTGGTTCAGACTGGCAGGAGGCTGTGCCATGCATATTTGCTGGCAGCATTCTTTGAGTGGGCTTGGTTTCACAGTGACATGGCAGAGAGCAAAAAAATTCACTTCCAAACTTCCACTCAGTTAAAAACATTCTAGACTTTTTTACTTTTATTTTTCAATAGCCAAAAAATTGGTCAATAAAGAAGAAAACTAAAAGCCAATGTTAGTACTTTGATCCTTAATCTTTTGAAATTAAAGCCCTGGAGCACAAAATCTCTTTAGAGTCCTTACCCTTTGTGGATTCACAATGTACTTTAGTGAAATTGTCCATTCACTGTAGAAAGTCGAGCTTTCTTCACTGATAGATCCCCAGTGTATCTCATGTGGTTGGTGTTCAATATGTACTTGTTGAATGAGTGAATAAAAGGTAGACCTTGAAATGCTGTGTAATTACAAGTGCCAGCTGAGTTTTTCTGATAAACTCTGCACTGGAAAGTCTCTCCTCAAGGAGTTCATAATATCACTGGGGAAATTAGCTTAAATAACACAAAACTTATCATGACTACATTCTGTGATAAGTTTATCACAAATTTGGGAGATTATGAATTTAGAGAAGGTCATGCAGACCTGGTAAGACACAGGTATAGATATACCTTTGTAGCCACTTTGGTTTTGGCAAACAGAAAAATACAAATACAAATAAATGATAAGAAAAAATATATATAGTATACTTGCCAGCTACCAGCTATTTCATTTATATGTGATCACATTTAATTTTTATGACATTGATATGATTATCTGCAATTTATAGATAAATGAACTGAGGTTTGGGGAAGCTCAATAACAAGTCTAAGGTAACACAGTTAGCATGGTGAAAGAGGAATGAGAACTTAATTTTAGTGTCCTCAAATGCTTTGATCTGCCATATGCTGCTTCAATTGGAAATACACTGAGTCATCGAAGAAACTGAGTCTCAGGTAGAATGCTGCTTCTCCTATTGAGCTGCTCGTGATGAATACACATCCCTTCTTTGCATGCTCATCCTTACAGAGCCTGAAAACATTCTCACACATGACGCTATGCCACTTTTGTCCTCTAGGATTTTGTCTTCATACACATTCTCTGTTTGTCTGTCTGCTTTGTGTTTTCTTTTACCCTTTGTTTTTACATTTGTCCCATCTAACTTACCTGACTTGGATTGGTTTTGACTTTTAGAAGGTGAAAACATCATTGTTCATTTTTCCCGTCTTCTGCCAATCTTCTGACTTGGCCTTGACATCTGCTTTCTGAGTCCTGTTATGGATTCACTTGTCTTTTCCCCTTTATATTCATGCATCTGGCTTCCTATCACTCTTTTCCTGGACTCCCCATCTTGCGATATCCATGCATGATGACAGGCCATGCATGATGACAGGGGCATGGGCAATCCAAACTGTATGTATAGTCTGAGTTGAGATCAAAGCCTGCTTATGTATGGACAAGAAGAGGATTCTTTGGAAGAGAGAAAAAAATAGTTTGGTTTGTACTAAACAATGGAAATCAGATCGAATATGCAAGAACATTAGATAATAGATTTCCTAAAAAGGCAGACATGGATTTGAGATGATAGTGTAAGGAATGAAGCATAGGCCCAAGTGAATGAAGAAAGGAACTGTTAAATACTTTTTATGTAGAAGAAAAATCCAATCCCAAATAGCAAGAAAGAGGGATGGGAAGATGGATAAGGGTCTCAGGGAAGAAATTAATGCTAATTTATCCAACATGAGACAGCAACAGCTTGTACATCGAAGAAAAGTTTTGTGAATGAAGTAAAAAGGGTGAGTATAGAAGTATTTTTAAAAAATATTATAAGAACATGGAAGAAGAATGGATAAAATATATTCCATTTTAGGATTATCTCTAGTTTTCAAAAAATTGTATTTTTTTGGGGGGGTGGTGAAATACAAGAAGAGTTTCACAAGGGAAAAATTAAAGTAAGTCCCAATATTTCTCTAAATACAGTGAAACAAATCAAAACACAAAATGGATAACAAAGTAAACAGCAACCATACAATGTGATGATAATGCTATTTAGGATTATATATTTTTGTATTTTGCTCTTTATAGTTTTCAAACCATGAGCTAATATTTCTCAGAGGCATATGATATGCTGAAGAAAAAATTTATTAAAAATATACAATATACGATCCTTTCTGAACAGATGTTGAAGATTACAAAGGAGGGAATTACTCCTTTTCCCCTCAGTATATGGTATATATTTTTTAGGATATGTATTCTTATTCTAATAACTGTATATGGATGCAATAATGGTTCAAGTTATAGTATAATGGAATTTCCTTGCGATGGTGATAAAGACAGTCAGAAGTTGAACATTTTGTAAACATTGTAGAAAGACCCATGGACAGTTATAATGGCTCTCATGATCCTTGACCACTGATGTTCATGCTTTTGTGTGATATCCTTCCTTTGATCATGGGCAAGATCTGTGATTTGTAACTAGTCAATAGAATATGGCAAAGGTGACTGGATGCCACGCTTGTCATTTTATTCTATTATATAAATTGTCTTTCTAGTAGACTTGCTCTAGAGTATTTTTCACTCTTGCTGGCTTTGAAGAAGAAAACTGACATGAATCCTCAGCTGCTAGAAACTGAATGCTGTCAAAACTCCCTGAGCAGAGAAGCAAGCCTTTCCCTTAGTTGGGCTTCCAGATGAAAACTATGTGCTGGCTGATACCTTGATGACAGCTTTGTGAGACCCCAAAGCGGAGAATCCAACTAAACGATCCCCAGACTTGTGACCCATAGGAATGATGAGATCACAAATGTGTGTTGTTTTAAGCTGCTAAATTTGTAGGAATTTGTTGTGGGCATAGAAAACTAATACAGCTCGCCTCTGCTCCTCTTCTTTTATTGGCTCTATAAACAGATTAATTAGCCTGGGTAATTCTGGGCTAATCCCTGTCCCTTATGACCAATAGCTATCATCTAAGCACTTAGCACATTCCAAGATCATACTTCTTACCCACCCCTTCTTTTACATGTTTTATATCTTCCAAAGAAGTGAAATTCAGACTATACAACCCAGGCCTTTCTACAGGGCTCAAGGCTACATGCTTTCATGAGGTCACTCTTAGGGACTGGGAAGAAAGGAAGTGGGTATTGCCAAGGGCAAGGGTCAAATACCCAAAGAACATCATAACCTGATGGGTTACTGAGCTGAGGTAGGGCAGTGCCAGGGCCTTTTCTTAGACTATAGTTAATTCCACTGCTGCTCAGGGCAGCAGGGGCACATAAATGACCTCACTTTATAGTAGAGGAAGTTTTTATAACTTTCTATGCCTGCTCTCATCATTTCCTGCCTAAACTAAATGTTCACTCAGGCTTGGATCTTATTTCCTGTCAAATTTATCCTCTACCCTGTTCCCAGACTGATTCCTAAAACACAAATCTGACTGATCTCACATTTTCCACTTGGGTTCAGGATAAATTAAAATACTTCCAAAGCCTTGCATAGTCTGGCTTGCCCTTTTGATATATCTCTGGATACATCCATTCTGTGAACTTGCTTACCACTCTATTTCAATAAGACTCAGAGTTTGTTGTATATTTTCCAGGGCAAATTCATGCTAT